CATATTTAGGTAATTTTTACATTTATGGCTAGAAATCTCTCCTCATAGAACAAAGTGTGAGACGTTGACTAGCTTTCATGCCAATGAACAGTTGAAAAACCAGAACGTTTAACAAGTTCTATAATTTCCAGGCGATATCAAGTCGCTCCTCACAAAATGTATTTAATTACAATTTCTCCCAAAACAATATAAAACAATATACAAAAGTGAGTGTAGTAAGTTATTATGAGCCGCTTTGATCTCATTAATTAAATGTTTTACTTTATTCTAACCAATTAAACATCAGCAAGACAAACAAGTGAACAGTTAAATTAAGATCAGGTAACAAGAATTACACAAGGAAACTAAAGAGCACCAGGAATATAAATGATTACAATGATCAGCAGAGGCAATGTGTCCCAAATTCATAATAAATATAAATTCCATACAATATGCACTACATATTATATAGACAATTGTCGCTAAGAGAAAGCAAAATGTATTTTTCAATATTTCAATTCCAATAAGAATACACTGCTCATATACTACAGAATATATTTGATGATATTTGTGGGACACAGCTGCGTCTCAACCAAAAAGGACAATGGAGGAAACCTGATGGAATGAGATTCAGCTGGAACAAGTGTTGACAAAGTAAAGAAAGACACAGATAACGAGAACAAAGCGGACTCGACCTGAAGATCTTATCTACTGTTCTCGACACAGTGCAGAGTGTTTCACATTTATCTGGACAGTTTGTGAATGAAGTGAACTGTCTGACAGATAGTAGCTGGCAGATGCAACGAGCAAACTGTCCTGCAGATAAAGTATTATTTAAGTATTTAAAAGTTGTTTCTTGACACATGGACAGTTTCTTCTACAGCAGTGTTGGGAGGGAAAGTTGTTGAATGATAAAAGTTGATTTTTAAGTGTTTTCCCCAATATTTTATACTCATGTTAAAGTCAGTTGACATTTTGTGGTATTCTCATCGTAACACTTCTTGTGTTTTTGTTGTTTATTGTAAAGTGGAGAGTCACATCCTCATTTAAACATTTGCTCTGTGTAGTCCGGTACATAGCTGATCAGCCTCCGTTGTTTCTTGGAAGGTATAACGTACACTGAGCAAACCACAATGTAGAGAAAATATATAAAAGGATTCAGGAAATGGAAACCACCCCAGTGACGGTGTAAACAAACCACTGCGTCTTTGAAGCAAACCTGCAAAATGTTGGTTTTTAATGTAAACAAACGGGATAATAATGAGATGAGGAAAGATGTTATTGAAGAGGGAGAAAGGGTTTATTTTAACCCGAATCATATTTTCCTGAAACTTGACTAAGTAGGTTTGTTGCATCCTCTCTACCTATTTTTTACCCATAACACCTTTCTCTGCACAAGACTTCAAATGTCTTTACAGACGTCTCTGCAGAAGCATGTTCCTCTGACGTTCCGGTCATGACGAAGCTGCTGACCATCAGTACACAGAAACATTGGCTCTCAAATGATTTGTTCTATTTCTTGCACTGGCTGGAAATAAAGGGTCGTGCCCTGTGATATTTTTACTCTGGTGTTGGACTCTCACTGTTATCATGGTGCTTATTTCAGGCTCTTTATAAATCCTGTTATCATACACGCCCACAGTAGAACACAAACGACCGACCCGTTCACCGTGTCAGCAGTCTGGCAGATTATCTCTGTTTATTAACTTCCAAAATTCAGTGTTTTTTGGACATAACACTTCTATCAGACGCGGATTGTTTCAGAAAATAAACTCCGTCTGTGTGACGTAAGCGCGAAAGTCTTTTTTTAGTGAAGAAAATGTGAAAGTTCTTTGAGTTCGTATGATGTTTTCATTATAAGTGGTCTACATGATTGTTTAATCAAATCAGTGACATTACTGTAAATTAATCCTTTTTTATTTAGTTGTATTTAGTTACAATGATTGGTTTAAATGTTCTATCTTTATTGGTATATCACATTTATTTAATAGCCCATTTAACTTTGTCCAACTAATAAAAGATTAATATCGACAGATTCAATTTGACATTTTGATTTGGTTTGTTCAGTAATTACAGAATTAGGCAAAAAATAAATATAAATAATACTCCCTGCAAACAATACAGCGTAGTAACAGAAAATAAAATACATACAGTACTCAACCTGTTGGAGAACAAAATGTGACATTTTTATTATTTTTTCTACAATATCTATACCATACTATGCCATTCTGATCATCTTTAATATTCACTCATTAAATGATCATTTTAGTTCAGTTCTGTTCCATAAATTCACCCATTTGACTGAAATATAATATATATTCTTTATATTAGATCTGACGCTTTGCTTCTCCAACATGCACGTCTCTCTCACGTCATACTGTCTCTATTATTTAGAAAAACATTTGGATACTTTCATTGGTCGCTCTGTGAGACACACTGGAGATAAAATCATTTATCGACGTGTGCAAACAGTGGACGAGAGTCAAAGTCGAGCCAAACGATCACGGTCCCGATCAGGCCCTGCATGTGAACTTTGGATCAACCGGATGGGATTCACTCTTCTTATCATTGAATACGACCTGGACGGTCGGCAGCAGCCAATCAGCTGTGACAGCAGCCGCATTACTGCAAGTTTGTTCTCCACTGAATCCCACAGACCTGTTTATTATGTTTGTCTGTCATAAACTGACAGCTTATTAGCTGTCGTCGGGCAGTAATAACCGTCCTCTGCGTGTGAAGGACACTTTCCACATGTCTGTGTAGAGTGAGACGAGCTTCTTCCTCCAGCTGGTTTGTGTTTCATTGGAAATCAAACCAGTAAGAAGTATACATGAAGTGCTTTGCTCTGGTTTGTGTTGGTGCAATCGGGCACGTTGTCTATCATTGAAAAGTTATTTTATTTTGAGATTTGGTCAAACAAATGGACTATTTCTGATTTGGACGTAAAGTTTTAATTAAGTTATTGCGCTGTTGGAAGGTCAGCCGGCTTTAAAGTATAGAGACATATTTGTCATGTTTTAATTGTATGCTAAGCGTTGTATCTGGATTATTTGTATGCCAGGTTGTTTATTCAAATGTATTGAAGCCTTTAATCATATTCATGTACAGTTGCATGCTTTTCATTCTTTCCGTGATGGTGTCCTGTGAGCAGAGCGGTTGGTTGTCAAAGGTTCATTTAGACTTCTCGGCCACATCTTCTTCTTTGGTGTCTATTCCAGTTGTGAAATATCTTCATGCTTTATTTTATAGTATATTAAGTCCTCAGGCATGTAGGAATAATATCAGATACAAACATCCGTCTCCTTAAACCCATCAAACTTTGCATTTTGGGCTCATTACCTCAAATTGGCTAAGATTACGTTTTTTAATATAAATAAAAAAAACACTATAATCCTGTTGAAACAGAGCAGAGCATTGAATAAGATCTCTTCTCCCAAAAGGACAAAAAACCCTCTGCATCATAAACGAACAGTTCCAAGCATGTTACACATGCCCGATGCCAAATACAGTAGAACATTACTGCATTAAAGGATTTATATAAACAAGCTGAATATGTTCCGACTGGTCCCAGCTTGCTGTTTGTAATCACCGGTGAGGTTTGTGTAGGCGAGATATTATTTAACATAAACAATCCAAGCAAGAGAAAATCACCCAGCGAGCTTTACAACCACTGAAGAGTAGCTACCACATAATTACAGGTCTAATCAGAATCCAAAGATAGCATCAAAAGGGTGTGTGTGTGTGTGTGTGTGTGTGTGTGTGTGTGTGTGTGTGTGTGTGTGTGTGTGTGTGTGTGTTTTATCAGGCCCGTATTTACTGTTTCTACCACGTGAACTCCAACATGCTTTCCTTTGCAGCAGACTCGCCACACCAAGTCTGATCAGAGTGAGTCCTGTAAATAATTCACTCGTTGTTAGTGCAGCATAATAACATTCACTGGTGAGAAAGGCATTACAGGGGAGTGTGAGAAAGAGTGAGGAGGTTTATGATTTAAAAAAAAGGAGTGTCTTATCTTTGAAGTGGAACAGATGCCTCCTGTAGTATCCTTGAGTCAGTCAACATGTTCAGTAACGAGCGGTTAAGATTTATGAACACAGAGATTAAGATGAAAGAAAATCGCCTTAACAATCCTATTGTGACATAAACATTTAATAACAGCGAGTTATTACGTGACTTGTGTTTTTATGAAAGGTTAAGTCCGAATTGTGGAATATTTATCCTATTATATACAACATTTATTAATATTCCTCTACATAGTTTGAGTAAGATTGTTAGCTGTTATAGTTTATTAGCGTTGTGCTCATCATTTTAAATATTTAAATATTTAATATATAATATTTAAATATATTATATATATATATAGGATATTTAAATTCTATCGTCCTATATGCGCATGTATATAGCTGTAATACTACAGTAGAATAAGTTAATAGTAAACCAATGTCATTTTTATTGTCTTCTGTTGCATAATACTCCATTTGATTGACATTAGTTGTATTCAGTGGTTGTTACCATGACGTCAGCATTGACATTGACATGGCAACTTGTGTATTTTGTTGTCAGACGGCACTCTTTGTGGGTTGCGATAGCCTATTTATCTGAGGTTGTTTGATTTGCTTTGTATGCTGATGATGTGCTTTCTGTTGTGACAGGTTTAGGTTCCTGGCGAGGTTTTTATCTGGGCTGGTTTTTATTAAATTGGCTGTTTTCTAAGTTGTGATTGAACTGAAACCCGGCAATCAGATCTGGCAACGCTGACCAGGGATTGTCCAATCACATCTTAGCAAAAAGTCTGCCGTAGAACGCATTTTCAGTCAATTCATGGATTTAATGTTCGCTCAATCTCAAAAAACAGTTAATTTGTTCCTGATAACTTTCATGTGCAGTTACATCTGCTATCGTCCTGTACATCATATTCCCATAATATCCCTTTAAGCGCTGTCACTGAGCTGTTTGGGGGAGGGCTCTGCCGGTGGGAACGGCCCCATGACGTACCGCTGTTGACAGTAGTAAAACCTCCACACATACACACCCCCGCACACTCTCACACACACACACACTGCCTCCACTTCATCCGCACACACTCCCGCCGAGCTGCCAGAGAGCCACCGCCGCTCCAAGCCTCTCCATCTCCCGCGCCACCGTGCCTTCTGCTCTGCGCGTCCAGCTGTGCGCACATCTCGCTCCCGGAGCTCCGACCAGGGCTGAAAGCTGAACTGTTGAAAGGAGGAAGGGAAACAGGAATATGACTTCTAAGGCGATGGAGTGTATGAATCTGTCGGAGGAACAGATCAAAGTGCTGGAGGACAGTTTCAAGAAAGTCACCCGGTATCCGGAAGGGATGACGCTCATGTTGATCGCTGCGGAGTGCGGACTGTCAGAGGAGGAAATACTAGTGAGTAACATGTCAATACTCTCTCTCTTCTTACAGAGAATGTGTGGATATGTGTTTTATTAGTGTTTAAAAGTAGGTTTTCAGACTGGAATGTGTTTATTATGTTGCTTAATGGTTGTCCTGAGCAAATAGTCTGCATGGTTTCTAGAAATAATCAGACAATTGAACAGACTGGTATTTAATAGGTCGTTGTTATATAACTACATTGAAACTGACTTCTGATGCTTAAAAGTAAGAGTTTTTTAATTATTTCTTATTTTTAGGGCGATTTTAGAATAATCTGCGGTGTCCTTTAGGGGCTCATATAGTTCCTATCTACAATATAATGTATTACCATATAGATATATGTGCACTTAAGTGAGCATCACATTTAAAATAACAAATGAAAATACATTTAGTAGTTTAATCTAAAGCAGAAATAACATTGTATGACAGTAATCTGCAAAGTAACCATATGAAAAATAGTGGAGCACAAGGTATAATGTTGCCTAAAAACTGTACTGAACAGCAGTATTTTAGTAAAAGTACTTTGAACCTCTGCAGTTTTGAGAGGTTTCACTGGAATCACAAGCACAGACACAAGAACGTGCGACTTGACTTTATGGTGTCACAACTTAGTGTTAAGAGAGTTTACAAGCCGTGAGTGTCAGCATCACCATCAGTGAGGTGACCTCTGAGGAAGCAACGTAGGCCTACTGCTAAAGACACAATATGTACATCCTGTGTGTATTTGTCTGCAGGAACGGGTTTATTTTCCCAGCAAAACAAGACTTTAAACATGTGACGAGCTGCTCCACTGCCAGCAGCTCTGTGGACAGTAGCAGTGTGATCCTGGTTGATATATCGGTGTTAAAATGTCACGGTCTGATGAAATAATCCTGATTTGAGTGTAAACACTGACCACAGAGGCAGCAGCGCCCCGTTGGTCGTCACTGGAGCAGCTCCTGGTTGTTTTGCCCGATGATGTCATGTCACAGAGTCCAGTTTCCTGCTGCTGTTTCTGCTCAGAGAGCAACTGTTGTTCATTCTCACAGACACGGACTTCAAGTTTAAAGAGGCGGCTGTCAATCAGTGAGGACAGCACTGTGACGTCCCTTTGGTTGGTCGCTATCGCTGCTCGTGTTTAAGCTGCTTTCATATGTGGTTGGATGTGATGAATAGTGCAGAGAAAATAACTAAAATAACACGTGTTTAAGTGTTTGTTGGGCTCCTGTTATGCATCAGGAACTTTAACTTTTGAACCTCTACAGAACTTTAACAATTTGAAGACGTCTCTTTGGGTTTTAGAACATTTTAAACTATTTTCTGAACTCAATGTCCGCTCACCAGCTCTTTCCAGAGCTTTCAACCACATCTTCATCAGAGGAAGGAGATTGCTCATACTCTAAACAGTTTCTTCGAAAGAATGCAAGCATAAAAAAAACAAGTAACAACATTTAACATCACGTCAGGCTTTGAGAATCAGTTTTATTTAGTTGTTCCTTAGGACATGGAGATTCCCAAATTAGACCTCATTAGGGCTACAAATAACAATTATTTTCATTTTATTTTCAATTATTTTCTCAGTTACACATTTTGTTGATATAACATTAATAAACAATTATCCTAGAGCCCAAGTTCAGTTTATAAATGACCACATCATCCACTCCAGCAGGAAACAGCTTCCAGGCGATTGTTAAGAACATTTTTCATTAATTGGAGACAATTACATAAAACCTCACACTATTACTGAGGCATTTAATCTCTCCCACGCGCTCTCTCTCCCACATGTAAACACTCCAACCATGCCTCTATCTGAGGAATGTCTTACTGTAAAGTCTATCACATCAGGAGCCAGATGTGAAGCTTCAGAGTGTCGATAACAAGTTCTGAAGGCACCTTCAGTAGCATTCCTCTGATAGATACATCGTCTTAAAAGCACTCTGAGAATGTCATGTCGCCATCCAAAAGGAGGTTTTTGAGGAACAGCCTAAGTGGTGAATGTCAGTTGGTATTCCTCTGTTAGGAGTTTGGCAGGTAAACAACACGACTATTGCTGAGCTGTATTCACCAGGAGGTAAAAAACCCTTCATGTAAATTCTGTAATTTGAGTTGACGTCGCATCGGGTTCACCTCGCAGGCAAATGTCTGCTGATGTTTGTGCTCTTGAGGCTGACTGACTGTTTAGATCTCATGTGTCACGGAGCGTGTTCCCTTTGTTCATAATTAGCTCATACAGTACAAACACTTCACCAAGTCAATAACTCGTGTTAACTCATGTGTGAATGTTCTTTTTTTCATTTGGACTCGGCAAACCAGTCCCTCTAGATTCCTCGGGGCTGAGGTTAACACGGGCACACAAAAGGTTTGCAGCAGCATCAGATGAGGTGTTTTGTATTATAAATGCAGGTGCAGCCTCTTTTACACCCTCTTTTACACCCTGTCTACACTTTTGTACTTGAAGACTTAAAATTCGTCAGTTTATATCATGTCTGTTATATCAGATGTGAAGACGAAAGACTGTAAAACCTGAACAAACAAGCTGTTGGTCCAACTCTTTCAAAACCCTTGTTACACAGCATTACTCAAGTTGTACAACTATGAAAGAAAACATGCAAACGTCTCCAACCCAAGTGCACATTCATCTATGTGCAGCCCAAAGAAGCATGTTTCAGCCTCAGTGATTAAAGGGGTACTCCGTGAATTAGCAGTGCTTTTCCATAAGGAAAGGTTAACTAGAGAGATGGATCAAAAGGTGGGAATAGACGTAGCAGAGGTTGCTATACTCTGACATTTAATCCCTAGTATAAATCAAAGTCCAAAAACCCTGGATTCCTCTGTTCCCATAATGCAACTCAGTAGTATGTCATTTGAGTATTCCTCATGACAATGTAAACTGATATCCGTGTGTAACATTGTTCGTGACTAGAGTGAAAGGATAGTCAGATTTTCTCTAATCTTTCTTCATATGCTGCTCATATGGATGTTGAAAAGGTTACTGGTAGCTTTGCATTCACATATTTGTATGCACATTTTGAAGTATAGCGTTGGAAAAAGTTTAAACATTTGATTTTGTTTGCAGTTCCGAACCTCTACTTCTTTTTCTACTCTGTTTACAGGCAGGTTACAGCCATACGTAGCCGTTAGCACCAACTTCTAACCAAAATGGAAATGCAGTGCTTTATTTGCGTATCTTTTTATGCGACGTTTCAAAAGTTTGCTTAAAATCCCTTGACAATTAAATGGAAACGTGACTACTGTTTGAAAATGACTGCGCAGAAGATAGCTGAAGCTAACTAGCTAATGAGCCAAACCAAGAGGTTCTCTTCATCCTGATAGCTGTGTGAAGATTAATGGCCGGTTTCCTCAACTATAGTTGCATATATGTTGGACGTTGGACCCTTGAAAAGGGGTGGAATGAAGAAGAAAGAATTTTGCGCAATAAAAGATGGTAACTTGATCCGGCTAACGACTAACTAAGCCCCATCTTCATTACTAGAACATCAGAGGTGTTTCATTATTTGTCTCCTTCCACTGAGGTTAATAATTCAGCTTTTTACTGCCTGCAGAGCTGCAACGAAAAATATCAGATAAACTAAAACGGCACTAAGCTGCATCCTAATTCCTCTTCCAGTGTTAGTGACTCTTTCCATTCATCATACACAAAGGTGGGAGGCACCGGCCAACCTGACAGGGGAAGCCTGGTCCAGGGTGAGGTAAAGGTCTGGCCTCTCATCAAAAGACCTGACTTCATTTCCAGCTGATGTGTTTTTTTTTCTAGCTTTCTTCCCCCCCTGTGGAGTGTTAACAAAGCTCTCATTTAGCTGAGGAAACACACCCCGGCTACCACTCCCCGTTTCACATTAACAATGTTTACAAGGTGCTTCGGGCTCTGTGCGGCATGTTAGAGCGCCTTTCATAGACCGTTTTTATATTTGTGTTCAGTGCTGCAGTCGGTAAAGGTAGTCAACTTTTCAAAGAACCCGTTATGTAATCCAGTGCTTATGAATTGGAAAACATTTCATAAGCACCATATGGGATTAGCATTATAAGTCTTATTTTTGTTCTGAAGTGGCATGTGTGTAATGTTTTTACAAGACATTCAATGATCTTTTGCACCACAAACAAAAAGTACAAAGCAACTGACTTCCATTCAAAACCTGGTAGAGAAAATGGCATTTTTAAAGGTTCATCGCTAAATTTCCCCCCAAAATGTATACCCTGCATCATAAAACTGAGCTACATTAATATGAAATCCTGAGACACGGATGCAAAGCAAAGTTCAGATGGCAGTTCTCAAAGTGATTTAGTCTTGAGTGCAAATCCAGACGACTCCAAATGGGAATATCATGTGTTTTCAGTAAAAATGTGAAAACAGTCCCTCCTGCTCGGCGCATGTCTCACGAAGCAAACCACAGTCTCGTGTCTTAAGCCCGCCGCTCCGAATCCCTCCCTTTCCCCCTATGGCGTTGTCCAGATGATGTCAGCATTGTTGTGAATCCCTTGACAACACCAACCGCAACACAGCAATGTGCCGGGTCACGGGGCGTGTGTGTCGAGGCACTCGGCACAGTCATCATCTGGTCAGAGTTTCAGGGGAGCGGTCTGTTAAAATCGGATGGAAACATTCGTTTTTTTTGTGGTTTCCCTGAAACAACTTAACCTCAGGGTCACTGCTGTCTGTTTGAGTCAGTGACCTCACTTACATGCACCGAGAAATGTGACTGTGATGTGATTACGAAGATAATGGAAGTCAGAATGGAACACAACGACTCTTTTATTCAGAGATTTCATATTTGGGGTTTTGATGATATCACTATGGTGACAGTTATAAAAACATGTCCATGGTCATAAATTATATTGACATGATTGCTGTGAATCTTTTTGTAATAGGCTCCACTCTCATGTGCGCTTTGTATTATAGGCCTGTTCTACAAAAAACACTAATTTTTACAACATACCCTACAAATAGCCTATTGTTGCATGCTAATCATTAGCATGGCAATGTAGCATATTCATCTCTTATAGTTGTTAAACATTAGCATGTTAACATGCCAACTATAGGTACATTAATATGCTAAACATTAGCATGTTAACGTGCGAACTATAGGTATATTAATATGCTAAACATTAGCATGTTAACATGCCAACTATAGGTATATTAATATGCTAAACATTAGCATGTTAACGTGCGAACTATAGGTATATTAATATGCTAAACATTAGCATGTTAACGTAACAACTGTATGAATATGCTAAACATTAGCATGTTAACTTGCCAACTATAGGTACATTAATATGCTAAACATTAGCATGTTAACGTGACAACTGTATGAATATGCTAAACATTAGCAAGTTTAGATCATTAATAGGCTGTATTTTAGCTTGTTAACGGCCCTGAGGATGAGAAGAGTACAGCAATGAATTTTGAGAACTCTGTGTTTTGTTCAAATCGTTGTTTTTTTCCATACAAGAACCCCACCTGTGCAACTTCTCAGGAATATTCGTGTCATGACTGTACATTCTGCCGGACCGGTGACCTCATCGCTCTCGTATTTCAGGCTCCGCAGCAGTTTGTTTCTGAACAAAACCTCCTCTTACACATTATCTTATACCTCCCATGGGTGTGATTGTAATTGTTTCTCTTTGTTTATTTGTGTCCTGCAGAAATGGTTCGAGCTACGTAACAGACTGTGGAGGCAGGCGGAGGGTCTTCCAGCTGAGCTCGGATCAGTGCTGGACTGAGACGCTCTGTGCTGGCCCTGGTTTCTCCTGGACAAACTGACCCTACCACCTCTTCCTCATACACTTCCCCCCCTCTCCCCTCTCCTTCTGTCATTCTCACTTTTTGTATCTATGAAGCTATTTTAACTTACTGTACGGAATTTGAAGGTGTTTGTGTGCCGTTGCCAATATAACCGCCATGTCTACGAAAATAAACATATTATAAGTTAAAAATGACTTGAGTGTGCTTTGTGGCTACAGTACATCCGGGGTCCAAATTCACTGAGGAAGCCGAGTTATACAATGGCGTAGGAAGAGTAGGGGGCTTTGGGGACAGAGTGCTTTTGTTTTTCAGGCTTTGTTTACATGCGTGTCTGTCAGCGGGGAGCGGAGCTGGTTACACGACTATAAAGGATGTAAGGAAGGATTACAATGGATGCTGCTGGACTCAGCTGCCGCTATCCAGGAACATACAGGGTCAAATCTGGAACATTTCCAGTTGTTGAGGGAGAAGGAGGAGAGGGAGGAGGAAGACATGTGAGCCGACTGAGCTGAACAAAAGACAGGTGATGTCATTTCATGGTCCCTTTCTCACTCGTGATCGCTCTGTGGAAAAAAAAAAAGGATGTGATCTCAGCAGCCAGTTTGAGCTAAAAGTATTCTGTAATTTTCTTACTGTCAAAACCAATTGAGTGTGTTCTTTGTTAGTTTTGATCTAAAAAAAAAAGAACTTTAGAACTCCAGTACTTGCAGCCCCAAATACTCACTAGTGTGCTAATCCTCTGTTGAAAATAGTAATAAGAAATGAAAATGTCTTTAAATCAGACTGAAAAGGTGGAGAGAGGGAGTGAGAGGCTACAGATTCTCATTTTACAGGATAGAAAAGACATCCAGAACCCTCTCAGTGTGAGAAGAGACTGAAGAAGGGGAGAGGGAGGGAGAGGGAGGGAGGGGAGAGGGAGGGAGGGAGGATGGAGTGAACGGTCTGCACAACAAGCTCGACAGAAACCAACACCGACCCAACAGGTAGTTCAACTGCTCGTAATACACACTGCTGCTTTTTATCACGCTGTTTGTTGCTTTTTGTGACAGGCTGTTTACACTGGCTCTCACAGTATGAACACATTAGCACTCATATTCATGTTTACAGATTTTTAGTTTTACTCCTTTAAAACTTTAATTTTAACATGAAAGAGAAAAGACCCTTATTTTAGTTAGTTTCTTTTCTATCTGTTTATGAGAGCATTTGTATCGTATAGAAATACAGAACACACACACACACACACACACACACACACACACACACACACACAGAGGGGTGTCTGTTTCCTGAGCCTGCATGGGGGTGTTTTCATCTGTTCAGCTGAAAAACAAGTATTTGCTTATATTGTGTGCGTGCGTGTGTGCACACACACACACACACACACACACACACACACACACACACACAGTTGCTCTAGCCCCCTGCTTAAAAACACACATTATATCCCAGACCTTGCCCCTTTCCCTCTTGCTCATAAATCCCCATTTACTCTTACAGTTTGCTTTGCTTGAAACCACTCCATTCTTATATGTCAGAGTTGTTGAAATGATCATGATATTGTACAGGATTATGAATTAAAACTCAGGATCTAACAATTTCTCAGCAGGTGATTCCTGTCTCTAGAAAACTACTTTAATGGTCCGTAAAGGTTTAGGAACAGACTCCCCCCTGTTTTCAGTTTCAACTATGGAGCCAAACTAGGCAGCAGTACTGTGTGGCGTCACCACTCGTACTGTGGTGTGTACAGTCTCTCCTTCATACTTCTGGGTGTATTTTACCGCTGGTGACAACGTTGGAAATCAATGAGCAACACTGATTTTTGGTAATATTGGATTTAATGTATTATGCATACATGTGACATTTATTTTAGGGTTTTATTTCACTGGATTACCGAAAATATTACTCTCAATATCACACACAATATTACTTTTCTGTTTAGTTTCTGCTAGGCACTGGTTTTTATCTTATGTTGTTGTGCTTTACTTTTCTATTTTAGTTTAATTTGTATGTACTTACTTTACTCTTATTGCGATTCTATTTTGCACTGGTGTCAGTGTTACTTCTTACACTATTAATACTTCTTACTTTACTGTTTATATTTGTATTCTATTGTTTTTTTCTTATTCTTCTGTTGTAATCTTTGATCATGTTATCTTATCTTATCTTTTATCTTATCTTATCTCAAAATCCAATCCCAATATTTAATCAAACGTTTTTCAATAGAATTTCCAGGAAATATACAATTTCTTGATATTTAGCGATACTGTGATATAAAACAATACTTACAGGATATAGAATACTAAGACATAGAATACTTCATCCATGTCTCAAACATCGAAATGAAGACTTGAGACCTGACTTGTACTTTGATTGCTGTAAGACTTGAGATTTTGAGATTTGACTTCCAAAATAACTTGAAAGCAAAGTCATTAAAGTTTCAAGTTTTGTGACTTTTTACAGTAATTATTAGGACTATGCATTAAAGAAATAAAAATAACAGCACAAAATTTGAAAATGTCCAAATGCCAAATCGTTCTAATGCTCAGAAGAAATGAGGTGGTCATTTAAAATATTTAGCCAGAACTTATCCAAAGTGCCTTAACAGTGGTACTAAAGGAGGAATAAACTTAAATACTAATATTACTGTGAGAGGTCATAATCAATCAATGGTGCAGGAAATGCTCTCTTGCACTTGAACATGTGCCTCAGTGCTCTCTGTCCTCGAGTCACTCTGGTGAAAGGAGGATCTGAGTGTTTGATGGTGTGCCATAAGCGCCGATCAGAGCGTGTGCAGAATTTGAATGCAGTGAGGTTTTGTGTGTTGCTAAGAGGACTCTGCAGGGCTGTGAGGAATCTGCCATTTTGAAGCTGCCAGGCTCAGTTTGCGTCACTTTGTGCAACCTGACTTTTTGTTGTCGACCGGAAAACTTGTAACGGCTGAAAGCTAAAAGCACTAGAATTGATTCAATTCAATTCAATTCATTTTGTATAGCCCAAAATCACAAATCACAAATTTGCCTCAGAGGCTCTTTACAATCTGTACACATGAGACATCCTCTGTCCCGGGACCCCCACACCGGTCCAGGAAAAACTCCTCCAAAAAAACCTTTAACAGGGAGAAAAAACAGAAAGAAATTGATGACCGAACGTAATTCCAGCGACAATCCCAAAGAGCCACTAGTTACTATGCAACCAGTATTTTTGAGCATTATTTCACTCATGATTTCATATCATTATTTTCATGACGTACTATTATGGCACACTGTACTGTAACTTTTTAATGACGTTGTAATGATTTACTATACTATGACTTTCAACATTTAGTTAAATAAATACTGAGTTTGAGTGAAGTCCAGTAGATGTATTGGTCAGACTGGTTCCAGTTGAAAAACACAGGAGCTTCAGACACAGTTGTGCTGCCGCCAGGTTTGTCACAGCTCAGGGAATATTCACCCATGGTGTTTTGATTTGGAGGGAATTCATGTAACTCCACCCTGACGTGGCTGTTTGCAGAGTTACAGCTTGCAAACGAAAAATAGATATTGAGATAATTCTCGATAATTTGTAAGGAAACTTGAGATGGATCATAACTGGGTTTTACATACTTATCTGCAGTAATTAGAGCAGGTTTTAATTTACTTTCTTCAAATAATTGTTTACTTTTAATCATTGAAATATTAAATATTAGTTATATCACCGTGTAAAGCAGAAATTTATCAAAATACGAACATTAAAAGTGCATCCCTGGACGAGGGCTAAGTGTTTGTACCAATATCTGACCGAGCAGGGCGATGGCATGAGAATGTGTTGTTTCAACTATTTCCTGTGTTTAGCAGAAGGTGTGGAATGACTGTACATAACATCCTGTGTGAGGCAGTTGGCATGTGAACATGTGACGACACCAAGACAGCAATGAGACTGAGAACTAAACCATGCTGCAGCATTCTTAATGTTTGCAACTGAGCCTTTCCAGAGATTATCTATACTGTAATACACCAAGTTAAAATCTGCATTTGCATAATACAGAAAAGGGACGTGGACTCAATCAGGATGCAATACAGCAATCTTGCAAAATATCATTTTGGCTGCAAATGGCGATACTTCCATCATCAATAATCATTTACTCCATCTCAGAAAATAGTAAAAACGGTCTATCAATCAGTACGTAAGAGCTGTGAGACTCTTTCCTCTCCGGACGTCAGACAGAATTATCCACTTGAGGCTCCAAAGGTCTGGACCAGGCAAACTCTTTCCTGCCACAGCAGTGAAGCATTTCCATTCATTTGGAAAAAAATAAGGAAAAGTAGGATCTCAACTCAAATTTCATCAACAGAAAATGCTAATCATGTTGACCTTAATTAACAGTGTGGAGGTTCTTTTACCCCTAGTGGTGCTATTTAGGGTGTCCCGATATATACCTGGATTGACGATAACCGTGATATCTAAAAAATGTAATATTGATATCATGTTAATCATACACATACGCCTCTTAAATTGTGCTTTTGTACAGTTATGGTTACAGAAAGAAAGATATAAAATGCACAATATTTATTTCCTTTTATTATTTGTTTATCTGTAAGAGACAAACACAGTGAAACATTGACAGTTGCAGAAGCATTGTCCAATACTGTTCATGTGTCTACAGCCAAAACTAATTTCAAACACCAGTTAGTAATCATGTTTGGCTAAAACTCAACTTTCTCTTTTTGTTTTTTAAAGTCCCCATCACCCACCTCCTCCTCCTCACTACCTTGTGGTCCCAGGTCACGATCGCGGCGGGCTAATCCCAGATTAGCCTTCCAGCAACACATCGGTTCAATCTCCTTTGATGTCTCGCCGAGTCGTGCGGGGCCACAAACCTGCGCTGATCTAAAGCCCACGCTGGAGGCCACAGCCTGCAGCGCTCCAAATCAAATCACGGCACAGGGCGCCTCCACCTCTGAACACATAAACTGTGACTATTTTCTGATTTACTTTCACAAGTGTAAATGGGATCGCAGTGGATTTCCAAACTGAAGCAGTGCCACTTTTTGTAAAGTAAACTGTGGCCAGATTCGTGGTATTTCCCAAAGAATTGTGACCTCTGAAAGGGGAGCGTCTGAAAGTCTTTGGTAAAACCTTCTCACGCTCACTGCACATGCATGCAGACAGCTGCCTGAAGAGACTCTGTTTAAAATATGTAAGAGTGAATAAAAATGCTCACGGCAGACGCACATCTGTCCCACGTAAAAACTTCAGAGAGAGATGGAGAGGAAGTGGTAAAACTGACAAAGCACAATGTCGCCTCAGAGGGAAACTCACTCTTTAAAGGCTAAAATACCTTCAAAATAAAAGTCAGTGAACAGATGCGGTCTGTGTGTGTGTGTGTGTGTGTGTGTGCATACACACATGGTTGTGATATAAGTGCAGAATCCAGCTCAACCCCTGTGGATCACTTCATACTTCATACTGGGGCTCTGACAACATCATTAATTTTCTCTGATCTGATTTATTCAAAATCTCTGAGATATAATCAATCTGTCATAAATTCTAGTATCGGGGTCCAAATCTTTTATTCAAGGTTTTACACACATGGTAATGATATCAACAGAACCGCAAATAAACAGACGCACCAGTGTGTCTTTTTTTCACGTTTCCCTTCCAGATGTCTCAAACTGAGTTTGGAATTGAAACATATTCAATACTTTGAGTTTAGTTTTCTACAAATTCATTTAGATTCATTGATTTTTCTTACATTTGTTTGTGGTTTTATGATGTTTTACACCAAATCATCTAAGAAACTCAACAAACTGCTCCGGTCCTTTATCTGGATGATAAGATAAAAATAATTAGTAAAACATTGAAGTAGAATCTCTGATCAGGATGTAAATAAAGCACCAAAAGAAGTTAGATGTCCACAAAGCTCATCGATACCGTCGTTATCTTTTTTTAAAGGTTTCCGCTGACGTTGAAGTTGCTTCACAAAGGGGAACAAACTAGAAAAGCACTGACTTGGTTGTGATGTTGAAGCTCAGGAGGACTGGTAGCAATTCAAGAAAATACTACTGGCCCCGAATTCATGTCTTAAAAGATGTAAATCATGTCGTACACTCGGCTGCTGTTCAAGCAAAGGCTCTTTTGTCATTATACTTTTTCTTATAAGTGTTTCAGTCATCAAAAGAAAAGGCCGGACCGCAAAAACACAGATCATGGGGACGGAGAAACATCTGGCAATCTGTAAGCATCTGTCGTTTGGCGGATGACAATGATTGGAAAATTCCACAATTAATTGTAAGAACTACTCATCGAGTGAAAACAACCACAGTTTATGTCAGAGAGCTGCTTCAAACAGCTGGAACATATGAAATTGACTGTGTGATGTCAAGCAGACAGCCATTTTTAGAGTTTTCTCCACAAGTAGAAAGTGTGATGAATTCTCTGAGTCCTCTACGGTTCGTCAACGTTCAAACTAAACTGCAGCGATAAATACTGAGGCGGTTTATGAGAAGGAGCTCTTACGGTCCAGATCGGTTCCGCCGGGCGTCCGAGCTCCAGGCAGACGTTGCTCTGCTTCAGTCGGGGCAGCGAGAGCTGGACCAGTCGCTGAGAGATTCGAGCCGTCTTGGACGCAAACGAAACGATGGACGCAATCTGGAGAAAACACAATAAATACATAATAAGAGGTATACAAATCTAAAATGAGAATAAAGTTAAAGCGACAGCAAATAATGAGAGGAGAATGTCTGTTTTCAGCTAATTCTGCTAATGAAATACCTAAAAATAAAGCTACATCTCAACATTAATGCCAAAAATGCTGATGCAACTTGTCGGCCGACATCCACCACTTAGAGTTGCCCGATGGGTTTCCCCTTCAGGATCTCACCTCTCTGTTGCTCTGGAAGTCTGGATGGCTCAGTTTGGGTTTGGAGAGCTGCAGCAGTCGCGGTGTGATCACAGCAGCTTTCATGTTGGGATCGACGTGCCAAACGGGACAGTTATTATCACACTGAGGTGTGTGAGGAGGCCTGTTGGGACCAGCAGAGAGACATTTCAATAAACTGACAGAAATAAACGTCGGACAAGTCAAGTGGTTTCTTTATGAGGTTAATTACTCGAAAAAAAGAATTTGCTTTTGTATTTTTCCCCTCGTTATTATGACTTTTTCTCGAAGGATTAGATCTTTATCCTGAACATCTCTGTGTTTTTCTAACAACTGTTTCTAGAACATTTATGAGTGAGTACATCTGTGGTAAATATTCTAGATGCAAAAACCAACTTTAACTTCCAACCGCATCCTTCAGAGGACGAAAATAAGAACTTCTGTGAATGCAGTTGAAAGCTCAGAGAACATCACATTTAGAGTATTTACCACAGATGGGGCAACTTTGTGGCAATTTTTCTACACGTCGACAAACAACAACAAATTAAATGCTTTTTCTAAGATGTATTTTTGTTTTAAAATATTACGTATCTGACGAAATTTCTCAAATATTGGTTAAAAAGATTAGTTGACAAAGGTTGTGCTTCATCTGCTCCAAATCTCAATCTCTCAATAAGCAACATAATTAAGTATTTCGGACATTAAACACTTAATTATGTTAATTATGACTTTGCTGTATTGGTTTGCTGGGTATTCTTGTGTTGTTTTGGTACTTTAACACAGTAAAAGGAGGGCTGGTACTTCAGTAACAGAATATTATTACACTGTACACATAGTATTCCCAAATACAGAAAGGGAAATTTGTAAACACTCGTCTTATAAATACGTAAAAATTATTAGCAACCAATAAAATAGTTCCAGCAGCTTTCGTTACACCAATCTTTTTGTCAAGGTCACACGTGTAATTTTAGAAGAAATCAATTCATTTATTAAGCTTTTTTGTGTTGTTTTTTTGGAGCAACAGGATAAAAGGATTATGTTTCAGCAGCTGGTGATTAAGATTTGTTTGTGGAGGGCATTAAAAAAAACCCAATCACAGTAATATCTACGATCTAAATTACAAAAGTGAAAATTCATTTTGGTGTATTGCGCCCAGAATGTAATCCCTGTATAAACCTCTCTTCATGTCCAACGACATGTTCTGCTGCTGTGCTCAGGATTTATAAAAAGACTTCCGCGGCTGTCTGCGAGCGTCCCGGGGGACCTGAACTTTGGACAATGAGCTCTATTGTCTCCGCTCCTCGCTCTCCCACAGTCTGACACTGTAATAGCAGATGTCCAAACGTTGGCTTTCCTCAAACAGCGCGGCGACGTTAGTGTTGGACCAGAGCCGCTGATCCTCATATTTAACTATATGATATGTAATATTCTGCAGAGATTGAACTCTAGACTGACAGATTGTGTTCTTAAAAGTATTTCTAGAGGCCTGCTGTGTTGACTACTTGGGACTACTTCCCAAGAAAAACGTTTTTTCTACTGAATTATGTGGGAAGCAGCTCAGTTTACGGGCTTCTAAACAGCCTGAAGCACTAATTTGACCCGAGTTTGTTTGGTTCGGCTCCACTTGTCCTCACTTTACTGGTGCCGTTTGATGACTAATGAGGCTTTTACCCGGCTTCCTGGGAGCTGCAGCTCCGGGTTCTGGGTGTTGACAAGCGGACAATGTGCTCGTACCGGGATGCCTCGGAGGAAGGACGTCGGGTCTTCCTGGAGAAGCTCGCCTCCTCCTTCCTGCAGGAAAATGGAAGCCATTACCACATCCATCAATGTGTGTTGGGACAAAAGAATGTCTTGAGGCAGAAGGAGGAGGGGGGGGGGGACACACACACAGAACAATGGATGAGTGTCAGTGCTGATGGAAAATCCTCTGTACCCACAAAAACATTTAAAGACAGTGGGGTGACACATATCCACGGTCATATGTTGACAATGTTCATTTTGACTCATTGTCTCTTTAAGCAAAAACGTAGTCAAACAGACCAATGATAAGGATTTAATGAATAATTCAGTTTTAGGAAATGACTGAAGCTTTTTTTTTTAAGTCAACTTTAAACCACATCATTCTCACATTTCAGAAGCTGGAACTGGTACTTTTTGTCATTTTTTCTTAAAGCTACTAAGAGGAACTTTCATTTTGTGTTATTTTGGTTACTGTGGACAAATGCGGTAGTATTTTCCCGGCACCAGAGTCCCTTTAGAAAACCTCTCATCTTACTGCAGCAGAGGTCTGACAGTCGGCTCCTCTCAGTCCTGGTTCTGGTTCTCCCCATGCCTCCCTTCCCTCCAGTGGGCCCAGCAATACGTCCTCCAGCAGCGTGGTGTTGTTGCTGGAGCTCTGACTGCAGATCGATGAAAGTAAAGAAGATGAATCTGAGTCTGTCCGCGGTGAGCTGGTCTCTGCTGGAGTCTGATCTGAAGGTGTTTCTGGTGAACCTGCATGATTTCTGTGATTTTGCCAGACAAGCGTTAAGAATCCTCTTGCTGATGGTCTCGTTTACTGATGTAGGTCATATCGAGGCATCAGTAATAAACTGAGACTATTTCAAAACCAGATTAAAGTTCCTCACAGCAACTTTAATGAATAACTTTAAAGGTTGATTAATAATCCTAATGATTAAAAACACAAGGCTACAAGTCGATGGACAGAAAATGAGTCTGCAAACATTTTAACGATCGATTATTGTAATTGTTTAAGTAATTTTTCAAACAGAAATGCCAAACATTCACTAGTTACAGCTTCTCAATTGTGAGGATTCTCAGCTTTTCTCGATCTTATATTTATTACACACCGAGTGTCTTTGGGTTTTGCAGCGTTGGTCTGAGACAGCAGACCATTTGAGGACGTCTGTCGGGGCTTTAAGAACTATTTTATAGACTAAAAGATTTATTAATGTGCAGATTAATCCATAGTGAAAACTCTCAGTAGTTGCAGCCTCATATGAAGTGAAAGCACCAGCTGCCACACCCTACACTGATACACTGATACACCCTACACTGATACACCCTACACTGATACAC